AGGGAGTTTGAGAGCCACTGGATGGGATCTGGAGGGGTCTCAGTGGGTTTGGAGCTCCCTAGTTGGGCTTTGAGAAGGATCTCAGTGTTCTGGGAGGGTCCCTGGTTGGGTTTTGTGGCATCTCAAGGGCTTTAGAGCTATCTGATTGGGGTTTGGGAGGGTTTCAAGGGGATTTATGGGTCTCTGATTGTTGTTTTGGGGGGTCTCAAGGTGTTTATGGGTCCCTGGTTGGGTTTTGAGGAAGCTGTTAGTGGTTTGGGGGTTCCCTGGTTGGGTTTTGGGAAATTTCAAGGGCTTTGAATGCACATGTTGGGGTCTGAGGGCATCTCAAGGGGGTTGAGGGGTCCCTGTTTGGTTCTGGGGTGTATGAAGAGGTTTGGAGTTATCTGGTTGGTTTTTGAGGAGGATCTAATTGTTTTGAGGGGTCTCTGCTTGGGTTTTGAGGAGACTCTCAATAGTTTGGGTGGTCCCTGGTTTGGTTTTGGGGGATCTCAATGGCCTTGAAGGCTCATGGTTGGTGTTTGAGGGGATCTCAAGGCATTTTGGGCATCCCTGGCCCCATTGCTGCGTGTATCCTGGCTCTGGGTGCCCGTGGGGATGTCTGTGGCCAGGGGGGTCCCCATGGGATGTGGTTACAGGGTGTTGGGGTCTCACCATCCTCGTAGGGGGTGTACTCCACACGGTAGGTGCCGTCGCCGAGGTCGGTGATGAAGGTGTCGGTCTTGGCACCCGAGGGGTTGAGCACCCGCGCGGTGACGTGGGGTCCCCCTGTCTTGGTGAGTGCCCGCGCATCCACCGTGAAGTCGGTGCCCACCTCGCGCAGCACCCCTGTGGGACGGGACTCAGCACCCACCCGGCATGCACAGGGGGTGCCCACCCAGGGGTGGTGCCCATGGGGCTGCCCCATGGAGCTCTGTGTAATGGGGAGGGCAAGGGTGGCCATGGGGAGGAGATGGTCATGGGGGTGGCCATGGGGAGGACTTATACATGGGGAGGATATGTCCTTGTGGAGACGACCATGGGGAGGATATAGGGAGGAGACATCCATGGGGAAGAGATGGCCATGAGGAGGACATGTCCATGGGGAGGACACATCTATGGGAAGGACGTGGCCATGGGAAGGACATGTTCATGGGGAGAAGGTGCCCACAGTGTGTCCATGGGGAGGAGATGCCCATGAAGATGGCCATGGGAAGGACATGTCCATGGGGAAGAGATGGCCATAAGGAAGAAATGTCCATGGGGATGGTCATGGGGTGGACATGTTCATGAGGAGGACATATCCATGGAGATATCCATAGGGAGGAGGAGACATCCTTGGGAATGGCCATGAGGTGGCCATGTCTATGGGGAGGACAGATGTGTGGAGAGAAGATGCCCTTTGGGAGGCCCAAGGGGAGGAGATTCCAACAGGGATGGGGTGCCCATGGGGAGGACCTTCCCTTGCCCTCACCTCGCGGCTCCACTCCTTTCCCATAGACCTTGACTCCACTGGTGTCGACAGCCGGATCCACAGTGACGTGCACGGGGAATTTGGGCACGGCGTGTCCCCCGTACTTGATGGTGATGGTGTAGGCGCCGGCGCAGGCCGGGGTGTAGGTGATGGTGTAGGTGCCGTTGTGGTTGTTCTGGATCAGCACCTCCGCTTTCACCCCGGCCTCCGAGATGATCTCGATGGTGAGCTCGGCCTCGCCGGCTTTGGAGCAGTCCACCATGAAGGTGGCCACCTCGCCCGCCTTGCCGCGCTCCAGCCCGGGGCCGCTGGCCGTCACCTTGTTGGGGTCAAAGACCGGGGTGACGACGGCCTTGAAGGGGCTGCCCGGGATGTGCTGGTCGGCAAAGAGGATGTTGATGGTGTAGTCGCC